CCCATACTATTTATTACCCCTTGGCGGCGCTCGTCCTCCGAGAGGCAGCCCCTCGCGCTGAGCTGGTCGTGGAGCGCGACGCCTGGAGCCTAGGTGGCGGCGGTGGACACCTCGTACCCATGGGTGACTCCGGAGGTGCTCTGCTCGCGGGAATTGGCTGTGTCGTCGAACGCTTGGGCGTCGGAGCGGCGATTCCCAGTGGTGGCACAGCTTCGAGTGCCTCTGTGGCAGCCCCAGGGTGGCACCACGCGCAGCCGAGCGGCCAGTACCACGCTCTAGTATGTCGGCGAGCACAGCGCCGCGCCATGGACCGCGCCGTGACCGGAGCCATTCGCGCGGCGGCCTCGAACGCCTTGCATGGCGCACAGCGTCATCGAGTGTACCTGGCTGGCCTTTGGGCTGCTCACGTTAGTGTTGGGGCCTCCAGGCAGGTCGGACGGACCCATGGACCAGATCGGACGCAAGAACGCGACCGCCAAGGTCGAGATGCGCATCACAGATCGATTCGAGCACACCGCGGCCACTGCGCGCGCGCGCGGTCGCCATCACTGCACGGACTTCCACCGAGTCTTATCCCCCCGGCCCTTTTCCCACGCGCGACGGGTCGGGTAAGGAGCGGCCTCGCCGCGTTGGCGGGATTGGGCTACTCGTCGTCACGCGCTGCGGCCGGCGCCGGGGTCGAGTGCCGGGCCTTTCAGCACGGCAAGGAGATCGATGATGCAGTACAACTTCGGGAAAAAAAAACATAGCGAACTTACCCCGACCCCCAGCCGACGGCGTAGAGCGTCGCGTCGACGAGCTCGACCTCCAGCGCGACGCTCGAGCCGACGAGCCCCGCGAAGTTTGCGCCGCCGCGGTACGCGGCCGCCGCGGCCGTCGCGTCGGCCTCGAGCGGCACCGCGTCGTCGACGCCGAGGCCGGGGACGGCGGCGCCGACGCGCAGGGACCCGCCCGGGCGCACGTCCGCGGTGATCAGGAGCGTCGCGTTCTCGCACAGCACCGGCCGCAGCGCGAAGGCGCCGTCGCCGCGGACGCCGGCGTAGCCGTCCGCGCGGAGCGTCGCGACGCCGAAGGACGAGTTGCGGACGCCGCTGTGGGGCCCGTCGCCGCCCATGTAGTAGATCCGTGTCTCGCCGTCCCAGGACGCGGGCGACGCCGCCGCGAAGCAGACGTGGGAATCGAAGGCGCCGCCGTCGCCGAGGGGCACGAGGTCCGGCGCGGACGCGGCGTCGCCCGCGACCCAGCGCCAGCCCGCGCGGGGCTCCGGCGCCCACGCGAGCCGGCAGTGGACGCGGCCCGCGGCGCTCTCCGCGTCGTAGACCATGACGATGCCGAGGTAGACGTTGAGCCAGGGGAAGGTGACCTGGCTGTAGAGCTGCGCCGACGCGTTGCCCGCGAGCGTTTCGACGGGTTCCACCGCCGCGTCGAAGGCGAAGCCCGTTGAGCTCGCGGCGACGCCGACGGCTCGTCCCACGGGCCCGCCGAAGCCCTCGCGCGTCGTCGCGACGTAGCGGCCGCTCGGGCCGTCGCGGAAGAGGTTGTTGTGGCAGTCGTAGCGCTGCGGGTCCGGCCAGTCGACGGCGCCCGCGCCCGTCCAGCGCAGCCCGTCCGGCGACGTGGCGAGGTCCGCCGTCGCGCCCGCCCAGCGGCCCGCTTCGAAACGGGCGACGCCGCCGTCCCAGGCCGCGGGCCCGAAGCCCTTGTACCGCTTGGAAGCGTCCGGCTCGGCGGCGTCGTAGTAGACGCCGAGGCCGCCGCCGGCGACGACGACGTTGTTCGCCGTGCCGCCCGCCAGGCCGATGGACCCGAGGTCGAAGAGGCCGAGGCGCGGCTTCGTCCACGCGAAACCGTCCGACGAGTTCGCGTAGAGGAGCACCTGCGTCTCGCAGCCGCGGGCGCAGTCGCCGTAGAAGAGCTGCCACGACGGCGACGCGTCCGTCGGTGGCACGACGTTCGGGTAGCCGTTGTCGATTCTTGGCTCCCAGGGCTCGGTCTGGCCGAAGAGGGCACCTCGCTTCGTCGGTGCGCCGACGGCGAAGGCGACGCCGTCCGGCAGGTCGTCCGGGGCGAGGGAGATGGCAGCGAGCATGCCGGCGCGGGCCGAGGCGGCGAGCAGCGCCATTACTGCGATTAACAAAGGCATTGTCTTCCCGGGGCGGCCTTTGTTCGGGCAGCATCGTGCCTGAAAGAATCCTGAGGCTGCCCTGCTCGACCAGCTTGAAGGGCTGCCCCACGTGCTGATGTACCGCCGATCGACTCTGTTTCTGGCGGCGTCGACGTCCGCGTTCCAGATGGCGGCCCTCGGCCGCGCGTCGAAGGTGCGGCGCCTGGCGAGCTTCCACGACTTCGAGGAGCATCTGCTCGCGCCGTCGGCGGACGAGAAGGGCGAGCTCGTGTCCATGGCCTCGTACAAGGGCGCGCATCCAGTGTCTTTTCGCAACCCGTCGGATGCCGCATCGCGCGACCGCGCCGCGGCGCCGTCGCATCCGTGCGCGACGACGCTGGCAGAAAAATCCCGCTCTTTCGCGCCGCGCGCGCGCCTCATCGTCGCCGATCTTTAGGCCAGGTCGTGCTCGTGGAAAACGTCGCGAGTATCTGAGGCACGACGGTCAGGGACTTCACGCAGATGAACGACCTGACCGAGAAATTCGCCGGCAAGTTCACGTGCCTCGGCTTCCCGACGAACCAGTTCGGGAAGCAGACGAACGAGAAGGACTGGGAGCTGCTGCCCATGCTCGCGCACGTGCGCCCCGGCGGCGGCTTCGTGCCCAACTTCCCCATCTTCACCAAGACCGAGGCCAACGGCGAGGGCGCGTCGGACCTGTTCAAGTTCCTCCGGTCGTCCCTCGGCGCGCCGAGCGACGACTTCAAGGGCCAGGGCAGCGACTACGTCATCTCGACGAAGAACATCATCTGGACGCCCGTGACGCGCAGGGACCAGCGTCCTGTGACGACTTTCGAGAGATTTGGACCGGGAAAAGATCGTCACCGTCGCGCTCGGTAGGCACGGACCTCGCCTGGAACTTCGAGAAGTTCCTCATCAACCAGGAGGGCAAGCCCGTGAAGCGCTACTCGCCGGGCTTCCTGACCGCGGACGTCGCCGCGGACGTCGAGGCCCTCCTCGAGCACGGCCCCGACGCCCTCGGCTAGGCGACGACGGCGCGCGCGCGGCGGCGACGCGGCCCGGCCGCCGATGACGGCGGCGGCGCGCTTTTCCATGCGCCCGCCGCCCGAAAAACACTTGGCCCGGTCGTCGTCCGTCGTAACGCTAGGACGCCGGACGTGTCTACCCCTCGGCGGCCGCGCGCCCCGCGGCGAAGGCGCGCGTCTGCCCCTCCGCGGCGACGAGCGCGGCGGGGCTGTGGAGGAGCGCGGCGGCGCGGCGGCTCGCGTCGACCTTGGTCTTCGCGCGCGGCAGCATGGCCGCCCAGTACGCGTCGAGCGCGTCCTCGACGCCGCGGTTCCGGCGGAGCTCCGCCGGCGCGAGGTCCGTCGCGCCGAGCTCGCGCGCGAGGGCCACGCCGTCGATGAGCGCCTGGTTCGCGCCCTGGGCCTTGAAGGGCGCCATGGGGTGCGCGGCGTCGCCGACGAAGGCGACGCCGCGGGGCCGCGCGGGCGCGGCGTCGCGGTCGACGATGGGGTAGCCCGTGCAGTCCGCCGGCGCCGTCGCGCGCACGGCCGCCAGGACCCCCGGCGCCGTCGCGGCCCAGGCCTCGACGATGCCCAGCGCCGCGGCCTTGAGCGCCGCGCCGGACGGCCGGTCCGGGAGCCGCGGCGGCGCGCCGCCGGCGCCCGTCCGCCAGCTCAGCTGCCACATCGTGCGGTCGTCGTCGTAGGGCATGGCGTAGACCCGCGCGACGCCGTCGACGGCCTCGAAGCAGTCGCGCGCGTAGTGGGGGCCGAGCGCACTCGAGTCGCAGAAGCCGAGGACGACGCAGACGCCGAGGTCGCGGAGCGGCGCGTCGCCTTGGGCCGAGAGCAGGCGCCGCGTCGCGGACCGGATGCCGTCGGCGCCGACGACCACGGCGCAGTCGACCTCGTCGCCGCCGGCGAAGACGAGCGTGCGCCGCCCCGTCGCCGGGTCCGGCGCGCCGACGGCCTCGAGGCGCGCGCCCCAGCGCACCGTCCCCGCCCGGAGCCGCGACAGGAGGATCGCGCGGAGCGCGCGCCGCGGCAGGTGCGTCGCCGACGCCGCGGGCGTCGCCCGGCGCGCGGCGGCCCGCGCCGCCGCGCGCTCGCCGTGGACGCCGAGGAGGGCCCCCGTCCGCGCGTCGAGCGACACGTGGCGGCCCGTCGTCGTCCCCGCGGCGCGCACGGCGTCGAGCGCGCCCAGCGCCTCCAAGGCCTTGCCGCCCTGCTGCATGGTCAGGCCGTAGCCCGCGGCGCGCTCGTCGGCGTCGCCGTCGCGCTCGAAGACGGCGCAGCCCACGCCCCGGTGCCTGTGTGGAATTCAACCACGGGTTTGGGTGGTCCTGACCAAACTTTGAAATTCTCGAGCTCGATCACATCGAAGTCGATTCGGCTGATTTTTGCACGAATCGATTGCTCTCGTCGAGTTCTCGAAGCACAGCCGAAGAGCTAGCGTCGAAACCGTCGCATATGCGCACATTGAAGTCGGGTTGAAGATTTGAATTCCGCACAGCCCGGTGCTGCAGCGCGACCGCGACCGCGAGCCCGCCGATGCCGCCGCCGACGACCGCGACGTCCGCGCGCGCGGGAATTTCCGGCGCGCCGGCGACGATGCCCGTGCCGCCGCAGGCGTCGCACTTGCGGCGCGCCGGCGCCGCCGCGCCGGGCGCCTCGGCGCCGCGCCGCCGCGCCTTGCGCGACCGCGAGAAGACGGCGCCCAGGCCACCGCACGCGGCGCAGGCTCTGAACTCGTCGACGCGCGTTGGCGCGAGCGACGCCGCCATGGCAGCCATCAATACGACGCGTGCGACGGAGGAATGGCGCATGCAGGCTGCACCATGCGCGAACAACCACGCTTAGCACATCGTCGCAACTATTGTCGCAGCTGCAAGCAGTGCTGCACGGCCTCAACCAACCAACGGCTCAGCATTCCTCCCAGCTCGTGCAGGGCTCGTGCAGGGGCTGCAGAGTGTCTTAGAGTCTGCAAGCAGCGAACGATGCCCGGCCGCTTCGCCGTGGGCGAGAAGGTGTCGTGCGTGCGCGACGGCAATGCCATGGGGAACAAGACCAGCGGGACCATCGTGGCCGTCGAGAAGGGCGTTCGGAACGCAGGGAGGGGGAACTGGCACGGCGACCTGAGCGTCACCTTCTATTGCATTTTGGACGCGCTCACGTGCAACCTCTTGCAGCCCGACAGCCTGTGGCGCTACTCCGTCAGGTACGACGCGGACGGCTGCGAGGAGACGAAGGTGCCCGCGGCGCGGATCTACAGGGGCGCCGCCGCCGCAAAGGAGGGCGCCGCCGCCGCGAGGGCGGGCCCGACCCTGTAGCCGCTGGCTCGACGCCGGATGATCACTGTGGCCGCTCCACGACTCGCTCCGCGCGATCGGGATCGATGCGGTATGTGCTGTAAAATATGTGTCGGTGCGAGGGCGCGGGGCCGGCCGGCGCGCCGGGCCCGGCGGCGGCGGCGGCGCGGCGGCGGTCGCGCGTCCGGCCCGCGGCGCCTAGTTCTCGCGCTCGTAGCCGCCGCGGTCGCCGAAGGACGGCGGGAGGCCCTCGGGCGAGAGGACGAACTGCCAGAGGTGGATGGAGCGCGCGGCGAAGCCCGCGGCGGAGCCCGTGAGGTAGTAGTCCCACATGCGCCAGAAGCGGTCGTCGTACTTGTCCTTGGGCAGGTCGCCGCGCGCCGCGAAGGACTTCTCGCGCCAGGCGAGGCACGTGCGCATGTAGTCCACGCCGAAGTTGTGCCAGTCCTCGAGCTTCCAGCCGTCGCCGATGCAGCCCGGCTGGAAGAAGGGCTGCGGGCCCGGGATGCACGCGCCCGGGAAGACGTACTTGTCGAACCAGGGGTCCTGGTTGCGGTCGTCGACGGAGTTGCCGATGGTGTGGAGCAGGAAGAGGCCCTCGGGCTTGATGACCTGCTTCGTCTTCCGGAAGAAGTTGGGGAAGTTCACGGGGCCGACGTGCTCCATCATGCCCACGGACACGATGCGGTCGAACTTGTCGCACTTCTCCGCGATGAGCTTGTCCAGGAAGTCGCGGTAGTCCATGAGCACCAGCGTCTTGTTCTCGTGGTTGAAGTGCTGCTTCGAGTAGACCAAATGCTCCTCGCTGAGGTCGCAGCACGTCATCTTCACGCCGAAATGCGTGCAGAGGTAGTACGACAGGCCGCCGAAGCCCGCGCCGAGCTCGAGCACGCGCATGCCCGGCTCGAGCTTCAGCTTGCGCCCGATGAGGTCCAGCTTCTGGAGCTGGGCCGTCTCGAGCGCGTCCGGCACGTCGCGCCAGTACGCGCACGTGTACTGCATGTGGGAGCAGAGCATCTTCTCGTAGATGTCGTTGCCGAGGTCGTAGTGCATCTTCGCGACCTTGGTGGAGCGGAAGATGGACTGGGGGTTGATCCAGCCGAGGTTGGCGCTCAGGAACTGGAAGAACTTGAAGACGGCCTGGAGCCTGCCCTCGAGCGAGCCCGCCTTGATGGCGCCCGTGAGCACGTCCATGAGGCTCGTCGCCGGCGTCCAGTCGCCGTCCATGTAGGCCTCGCCGAAGGCGAGGGAGCCCTTGGTGATGACGCGCGTGTAGAGCCGGTCGTCGTGCACGATGATGGCGTTGCCCGGCAGCGCGTCCGTCTTCTTGTAGTCGGCGACGTCGACGCAGTCGAGGTTCGCGACGGCGAGCACGACCTTCTTGATGATCGGCTTGATCAGCGTGCCGATCTTCGTCTCCATGGTGGCGGAGCGCGCGGCGACGGCGGGGGCGCTGCGGGCAGCCTCGCGGTCAGACGCGCGCGATCGTCGCGTGAACGATTGGGCAAGCGCTGTGGGCAGCCCACGCGATTTTTGGCGTCGTTCAACAACGGTACTTCGCTAATAAATGCCACTTCGAAGGCTGCCGCGCCTGTACTTACAGGTAAGAGCCGCACGCTACTCGCGCTGCCATCTCGTAGTATGAGCTCCTTCGTGGAACCGCGCGGCGTGCTCGTCGTGCTCATGGGCCTGCCGGCGGTGGGCAAGTCGACGGTCGCGCGCGGCGTCGCGGCGGCGGCGGACGACTCCGTGCGCGTCGACGTCGTGCGCTTCGACGACGACCTCGAGGCGCGCGGCGCCGTCGCCGAGGCCTTCGACGCCGAGCAGTGGCGCGCGAGCCGCGCGGCGTCGCTCGCGCGCGTGCGGTCGCTGCTCGAGGCCGCGGGCGGCGGCGTCGACCGCGTCGTCGTCGCGGACGACAACTGCGAGTACCGGTCCATGCGGCGCGAGCTCTTCGTCGCCGCGCGGGACCGCGGCTGGGCCTTCGCCGTCGTCCACGTCGCCGGCGCGAGCGACGTCTGCGAGCGGCGCAACGCCGCGCGGCCGGACCGCGAGCGCGTGCCCGCGGCGACGATCGCGGCGATGGCCGCGCGGCTCGAGCCGCCGGACCCCGCGGCGGGCTGGGAGCGCTTCGCGCGCACGCTGGCCTCCGGCGACGACCCGGCGCTCGTCCTCGCCCTCGCGGCGGCGGCCCGCGCCGCCGGCGCGCCGGAGAGGCCCGAGGATCCCGAGGTCGCGGCCGCGCGGCTCGCGGCGGCGCGCGGCGCGACGGCGCGGAGCGACGCGCACGCGCTCGACCTGCGCCTCCGCGCCTGCGTCGGCGCCGTCGCCGCGCGCGCCGGGCCGGGCCTCGCGACGAAGGGGCACCGGGCCGCGCTCGGGGCCGCGCTCGCGAAGGCGCGCAAGGCCGCGGGCGCCGCGGCGGACCCGCTCCCGGCCTTCCGCGACGACGCGCTCCGGCGCCTCGAGGGCGCGGCGCCGCCCTTCGACGCCGCGGCCCTCGCGCGCGTGCGCGCGGCGCTGGACGCCGCGATCACCTAGCTAGAGAACCGAGCTAGAAATCGTCGAGCCAGAGCCGCGCGTCGAGGGGCCGGCCGCGCGCGTCGAGCGCGTCGGCGATGGCCTCGCGCAGCGCGACGTCGGGCAGCGAGACGACGAGGTCCGCGACGTCGCCGACGGCGAGAATCGCGTCCGCGGCGTCGAGCCACGCGTCCGGCGACAGGGAGCGCCGCCGCGCGGCCCGCGACGCCCGTTTGAGCGCGTCGAACCGCGCTTCGTCGAGCGCGTCGCCGATCCTCGCGACGGTCGCCGCCGCCGCGGCCTTGCGGCGCGCGGTCCAGGCGTCGCGCTCGGCGACGACGTCGCCGTAGCGCGTGTCCGGCGTGAAGCCCGAGCCGAAGATGCGGTCGACGCGCCGCTCCCGGTGCCAGACGAGCCGGTCGCCGTAGGAGACGAACGCGAAGCGGTGCTGCGGCAGCGCCTTGACGAGGAGCCGCTCGGTGCCGTTGATCTTGCCGTTGGCGTCGCCCCAGCGGCATCCCTCCTTCACCGGCGCCTGAGCTTCGCGGTAGAAGAACTCGAACGCGTCGCTGTCGATGCCGTAGTCGAACTCCATGCGCTGCAGCACGTCCTTCATCGGCCGCAGCGATGGCGCGGTGAGGCTGGTGGTGGTCGCCAAGACTGCTGCGACGAGGAAGTGCCGGTGCATGGTGATTGCCTCTGTGCGGCGACTGCTGCGTGCTTTCTTATGCGCGTCTTGCGACGATACTGCGTTGCTTTACGCGAAATACCTGCGAACCATGCTGCGCGCGCCGCTCGGAGCACTGCGCGCGAGCACCTTGAGGCGTGTTTGACTCAACTTGAGGCCGATATGTCGCCAAATGCCGCAAGAGCCCTCGAACTCTCACTCGCGCGCGCCGTCGAGCGCCTGCACCGATGTTCGCCTCCTGGCTCCTCGCCGCCCTCGCGGCCACGACGCACGCCCGCGTCGCGTCCCTCCACCGCCGCGCGTCGAAGCTCACGGCGGCGCGCTCGCCGCTGGGCGCCGAGGTGGCGCTGCCGTCGTCGGAGAACTGCACCTGGCGCGTGTTCAACCAGACGCTGGACCACTTCGCCGTCGGCTCGAATCCCGCCCGCTTCGGCCAGCGGCTCTGCCTCTACGACGGCTTCGTCACGGGCGCGGCGCCGCGCATGGTCTGGTTCTACACGGGCAACGAGTCGCCCGTCGAGGAATACGTCAACAACACGGGCCTCATGTGGGAGACGGGCGCGGAGCTCGGCGCGCTGCTCGTCTGGGCCGAGCACCGCTACGAGGGCGGGTCCGTGCCCGCGTGCGCCGGGCTCCGCGACTGCCTGGCCTACGCGTCCGTCGAGCAGGCCCTCGCGGACTACGCGGTCGTGATCGACGCGCTCCGGGCCGAGGTCGGCGACGTGCCCTTCGTGGCCGTCGGCGGCTCCTACGGCGGCATGCTGTCGTCGTGGTTCCGGTTCAAGTACCCGACGGCCGTCGTCGGCGCCATCGCGGGCTCCGCGCCCGTCTGGGGCTTCCCGCTCGACGCGCCGCCGCTCGACGGCTCCGCGGTCGCGATATCGCGCGGCGCGGGCTTCGCCGGCGGCCTCCCCGACGACAGGTGCGCGTCGAACCTCCGCGCGGCCTGGCCCGTGCTCGAGGACTTCGCGAGGACGGCGTCGCCCGCGGCGGACGGCACGACGGCGCTCGAGGCCGTCGCCGCGGCCTTCGACCTCTGCGAGCCGCTCGCGTCGCCCGACGACGTCGCGGAGCTCGTGCAGTCCGTCCAGGGCGTCTTCTTCGACCTCGCGGAGGCCAACTACCCGTTTCTTGTCGGCGTCCCGACACTTTCGAGGGCACCGATCGTCCCCTCAGGTTCCCGTCGACGTACATCACGAGCGCGGTGGGGCCGGGCGAGTACCCGCTGCCCGCGTGGCCCATGCGCGCGGCCTGCGCGACGCTCGAGAAGAGCGACGCGCTGACGCTGACCGTCGGCGAGCCCGCGACGAATTTTACCGTGGCCGCGGGGACCCTCCGCTGGGACGTGGCCTACGACGGCGTCGCCGCCGCGGCGCCCTACTCCGTCGACGACGCGAAGGCCGCGGGCGTGCTCGGCGTCTTCCGGGGCGTCCGGGACGCCTGGGCGACGTGGTGCAACGCGCGACGCCGCGTCTTCCGCGCTTCCGAAGCGCTCGTCGAACTCGCCGTCGCAGGTCACGGGCACGAAGACGTGCCTCCCCCTCGGCGGCTGCGCGACGGGCCGGCGGAGGCGGCTGGCGGCCGCGACGCGGACCCGGGGCACGTGCGCGCGGCCCTACGACGGCGGCTCCTGGGACCCCGTGTGCTGCAACGACGACCTGAACCTCGTCAACTACCTCGTCCAGGGCGTCGGCCGCGACTTCTACTGGCCGCCGAACGTCGCGGCCGGCGCGACGCTCGAGGACCTCATCGGGCCCCTTGGGGTCCGGGACGCGGGCTGCTCCGCGGGCCCGGGCCTCTACGGGTACCCGCCGACGTCCGACCCCTGGTCCACCTGGCTCCACAGCTACTTCGGGGGCCGGGGCGGCGCCCTCGCGACGTCGAACGTCGTCTTCTCCAACGGCCTGCTCGACCCCTGGAGCGCCGCGGGCGTCTACGCGGACGACGCGCCGCTCCGGCCGGGGCCCTACGTCGGCCCCCTCGCGCGGAACGTGTCCGCGGCGGACGACGTCACGGCGCTGATCATCCCGCTCGGCGCGCACCATCTGGACCTGATGTTCATGGACGACGACGACCCGCCCTGCGCGCGCTTCGCGCGCGAGTTCGAGGTCGCCGCGGTGCGGCGCTGGACGGGCCTCGCCTAGGCGTTTTTATGCGCTCAACTCAACTTGTTCGCATATCCCGCCGCGGCCGCCTTGGGTCGGAGCAGCTACTACTAGCGAAAAATGCTATAGCCCGCGGCCTCGTAGCGGCGCCGGTGCGCGTCCTCGGCCGCGCGGACGCGCTCCTCGAGGAGCGCCGCGAGGTGGGGGAAGCGGGCGTCCGCCGCGGCGTCCGCGGCGGAGCGGCCCGTCGCGTCGCGGACGAGCAGGTTCGACGGGTCTACGACGCCGAGGATCCACTCAACCATTTCAAAATGCCCCTTGGCCGCGGCCTTGTTCAGGGGCGTGTGGCCGACGGCGTTGGGCGCGGCGAAGTCGGCGCCGCGGCCGTGGAGGAACCGCGCCGTCGCGACGTCGCCGCCCGCGCCGCACCAGTGCGCCGCCGTGCACCCCGTCCTCGGGCTCCGCGCCGCCGTCGACGCGCCGCGGTCGACGAGGTACGCCGCCGCCGCCGCGCGCCCGTGGAACGCCGCCCACATGAGCGGCGTCTGCCCGTCGCCCGTCTCCGCGTCGACGCGCGCGCCGCGCGCGCGGAGGAGCTCGAGGCACGAAACGTCGCCGCCGCGCGCCGCGAAGTGGAGCGGCGTGCGCCCGCGCTTCGACGCCTTGCCCGTCGCCGGCGCCGCCGCCGCGTCGCAGCCCGCCCGCAGGAGGAACGCCAGCGCGTCGGCGTGGCCGCCGCCCGCCGCGCGGTGCGCGCACCCGCACCCGTTGCGGTCGACGACCGCCGCGAGGTCGCCGCCGCCGCGCGCGAACTCCTCGAGCCGCGTGAGGTTGCCCGCGCCCGCGGCGCGCAGCACGCTCGTGGGGTCGCTGAGCGTGTCGACGACGCGCGCCGCCGCGCGCCGCGGCGTCCGCAGGTCGACGAGCTTCGGCGGCGCGCGGCGCGCGGGCGCGACTCCGGCGCGCGGCGGGGCGATCGTACTGAGTCCGCTGACAGCTGCGAGGAGCCCGAGGAGCACAGCCATTTGTCGCTGTCTTCGGACCATCATCATCACGACTTCACTTCAACGCGGCCAGCGCCGTGGTTCGTGACCGCGTCGCCGACACAGCTTTTTCGGACACGGCACCTATTTCGTGCTGGCCGGGGGTGGAGCTGAAACGCCGACAGTGTCGGCGTTTGAGGAAGAGGCTCCGACAGGCCAAGTCTTGCGATGTGTGCGCCCCCTGGAGGCCCACCGGCGGTCACACCGTGTCCTAGGGGTTCACATGGACGCCGCTGACCCGCGGCGCGCACCAATTCGGTGCCGGCGGCGCGAGCCGCAACGGTTTCGGACCGAGCGCGACGCCGTGGCGCCGGGGCCAGAGCGGCGCCCGCCGACGCCGTGGACCGTACCCGCGCCCCACACACGCCCACCGTATGCTGATCGACGCGCTCCGCCGAAAGATCGTTGGAAATCGCTGGGAATCCGGCCGCGGCGCGCCGCGAACTCGCTCCGCCGTAGCGCGACACCGTGGCGCCGAGGGCCAGGGCGGCGCCCGCCGACGCCGTGGACCGTACCGGCGGCCCAGACACGCCCACCGTATGTTGTTCGACGCGCTCCAACAACAAATTGTTGGAAATCGCTGGGAATCCGGCTGCGGCGCGCCGCGAACTCGCTCCGCCGTCGCGCGAGGACGCGCCGCTCGGCCGTCCGCGCGCAATTTTGCATCGACCGATCACCATCGCTGTGTTCCGTCGGACGCATCGGCATCATGGAGCTCGTCGAGGGCGACCCTCACGGTTTTGGACGACCGCGCGCCGCGCGACGCTCGCCGAGATCGTCGCGACCGAGAACCAGCGGACGGCCACCGCGGCCCTGATGCGGCCCCGTCCGCGCCTCGCTCGGGGCCTCTGTCGGTCGCGCGTCCATCGCCAGTTACGAACGTCGCCGCGGGTTGCTGGGCAGATGCAGAGAGAGCCTTTTGGCACGCCCAGGGTCCCAAAACGGCTGTATTTTCACCTAAATTCATGCCAATATGGCTCGTTTGAGCGGCAGCTTGGCCCAGCTGGCTTTCTGCCAGCCCCGTTGTGTTTCTCCTACCTACGCCCCTGGAGCCTCGCGGCTCCTCCTGGGCTTGCTGGTCGCAGGCCAGCTACTTTTTTTGGCCAAACAGGCCAATTTTGGGCATCTTCTCAGCACAGGACCACTCATGATGATGGTGCTTCGGTACTACTCTCACGGAGTTCGAGGGACGCAGCAAGGTCCCCACCTTCTTTCTTTTACGCCTCCGGCGCCTTCGGCGCCTCTTCGGCGCCTCCGGCGCCGTTCCGGCGCCTTCGGCGCCGGTTTTTTTCTTTTTTTTTCCTCTTTTTTTCTCTTTTTTTGGTCTCTGCCAGCATGAAAAAAGTGCCCTTTTTCGTCGACCATCGAGTGCTCGGCTCGCGACGCCGCCGCCGCACGACGATGTGGCCCTACCTGTGGTCCCTCATCCCGGTCCTGGCCCGCGGAACCGGCGCACGGCGAGCCGCGCCACCCCCGGGCGTTTTCGTTTTTTACCTCCGCTTCCACACGGTCAGGACGTCGGGCCGCGGCCGCGTCGGGAGGTCCGCGACGGGGTCCAGGGCCGCCTCGAGGCGCCAGCCCGGCCCGAGCTCCGCGCGGGCCCCGACGTGGACGACGGCGTCGCCGGCGTAGGCGCCGATCGTCGCGGCGTCGGCGTCGCCCACGAGGAGCAGCGCGCGGTCCGCGTGGCCCGCGTCGGCCGCCGCGGCCGCCGCGCCGCCGCGCAGCAGCAGCGCGCAGCCGTCGTCGAGGGCCGCGTCCGGGGCGCCGGCGCAGGCCGCGAGCAGGGCCGCCCGGCCGCCGTCGTCGGCCGCGTCCGGTGCCGCGCCCGCGCGGAGCAGCGCGCGGACGCCCTCGCCGTCGCCGCGCGCGGCGCAGATCGCCAGCGCCGGCGCGCCCGTCGCCGGGTCCCGCGCGCAGGCCGACGCGCCGCGGTCGAGGAGGAGGCGCAGGACGCCGTAGGCGCCGGCGGCGGCCGCGGCCGGCACCGCGCACCGGCCGCCCGCGGCGGCCGCGTCCGCGGGCACGCCCGCGTCGAGGACGGCGGCCACGGCGACGACGCCGCGGCCCACGGCCGCGACGAGCCGCGCCGCGTCCTTCGGCGCCGCGGCGGCGCCCGCCTCGCGCTCGACGCGCCGGAGCTCGAGGCCGAGCGCGTGGCCGACCCTGAACTTGCGCGCGTGGTGCCGCGCGTCGTGCACCGCGGCCCGGGCGGCGCGCGCCGCCCGCGGGCCCCCGAGGCACCGCTGCGCGTCGGCGAGGCGCAGCGCGGCCTTGAGCGCGACGAGCGGCTTGTCGCGGCGCGCGCCGCGGAGCCGCGGGTCGCGGAGCGCGGCCGCGGCGTCGGCGGCGGCGCCGCGGAAGTCGTCGAGGCGCGCGCGGCTCATGGCCCGGTTGCAGAGCACGGCGAGCTCGTAGGCCGCCGGCACGGCCGGCCGCGCGAGGCACGCCTCGTAGTGCAGCAGCGCCGCTTCGTGGGCGCCGCGCGTCGCGCAGGAGTCGCCGAGCTCCTTGTCCAGCGCCCGCCGCTTCGCCTCGCGCGCCTCGGCGTCGTCCGCGACGCGCGCCGGCGTCGGCGGGAACGCCGGCGTCGGCGGGAACGCGCTCATCGCCGTCCGGCGCTAGGGCTGCCCGCCATCAGTGCTCAAAAATGCACCATGGTTCAACGTGCCATGATGTTGAACGTACGGTAGAAGTGGCTACCTCTTAGTCTCCCGCGACGAACGGCCGGAGGATGCGAGGATCGCGCGCGCGGCCTCGCGCGCGCGCACCTCGAGCGGCTTGGGGTCCGCGGCGGCGCCCTCCGCCTTGAGCGCGTGGCGGAGCGCGGCGATCTCCGCGTCGAGCGAGCTCACCTCGTCGCGCAGCACGGCGGCGACGCCGTCCTCGGACGCCACGGCCCGCGCGGCGGCCCGCGCGGCGGACGGCGGCGGCGGCGGCGGCGCGGCGACCCGCGGCGCGGGCGCCGCGGCCGGCGGCGGCGGCGCGACGGGCGGCGCGGCCGCGACGGGCGGCGGCGCGGCGGCCGGCGGCGGCAGGACCACCGGCGGCGGCAGCGCGGCGCGCGCCGCGGCGATGGCGGCGTTCGACTCGGCCTCGAGCGCGCGGGTCTCGAGTTCGACGATGCGCGCGTTCGCGCGGCGGAGCGCGTTGCGGTAGCCCTGA